GCGAGGTCCAAATAGAATGTGTGGGTGTGGCAGTGGGAGTGGTAGTGGGAGTGGGAGTGGGATTGGGAGTGTATCACATCACATGCAGCAATGGGTGCATGTCATTTCATATCATTCCTGCATCCATAACACAAATACCCCTTCCACATTTCATATCACATGCCTCTGCCTAGATTTCTTGTTTTTTTTTTTTTTTTGGCTAAATTCATCAACAGATACTGGTAGTTAACAAGTCGGCAATTTGATTCTCGTCCTTTGAGAAGATATCTTTAGAGACAATCACCAATTAGAATGATTAAAGTATAATTGAGGATAATAAATTTTGTATATGTCAAAGCATTTTGATGAATAGAGTTGAAATTTATTTTAATAATACATTCAAGCATACATACATATATATATATATATATCCTCAACAAAAAAAAAATCAAATGTATTTTTCAAAATAAAAAATAAAAAGCCAAGCATTGTTGCTTCTTTTTTTTATATAATGAGAAGTCGAAATCCAAAAAATCATAAAAAGAAAAGTTGTCATATTGAAGATTGAACATTGATTTTATAAGAATTTATCTTTTAAAATAAATAGAAAAATCATTTGAATTAAATCTCCGCTTAATCTTTGCATATAATTGTACATACTTAAGTATTATCTTATCTTTTTGTCTATGAGAAAATTAATGGTAAGTTAATTGCTGATACAAATTTGTCCTTGAAGAATTGTTACATTTCCTGGAAACTGCATCAAACTATCATGTTCTAATAACAAAACAAAAGATAATCTTTTAATTATTGAAGCTTAAGCTTGTTGTAATACTATAATTTGATAAATTTAGTAAAAATAGCTGCTTACATGTTTTTATGATAAAGAAAACGCTAGGGCCGAGAAACCAATAATGCAAAGCAAAATGTAGCTGATACAGAGAAGGGAAAGAAAGCCCGTGGATCGAGGGAAGACTGCCCCTACAGAACATTGACGGCGACTATTTGCCTACCCGAACTGCCCAAATTGCCCGGCAAAGACAAAAGGGTCATAAGCTCCTGTCGTTTTCCGCTGCCCATCCACTCCATCAGATAAAGTCAGGACCAAACAGGCAAAGGGCAGCCCTCTTGCTGTCGTTCTTTCATTTTTGGACCCCAAAAGTGTCTCTCACCGGACGGCACGCGCGGTCAGGTACCCAATCTGTTATACTTCCAACAAACAATAATTTTCTCAAAACAACAGAATTCGAGAAACACAGTTTTGCTTTCTTCTTCAATATGTTTTTTTTTTTTTTTATGGCAAAACAAAACTTGGGTTTTCTTTTTCTTAATTACATGTGCTTTTGGTTAGGGTAATTTTCTTTTGGGTAAATTATAAGAATAATCATTTAGTTTTTTATGATTTTTTTATCTTGATAACTCAATTAGAAAATTTAAAACTTTACAATATTTGCAAAGATTATTGAAATTTCAATTATTTATTTTATTTTTTATGATATAGACATGTCAGGTAACCACCACCATCATACTTGACTTGTTCTATAAGCATTTTGTTAATTAAAGACTAACGATAAAGTGATAAACAATATTTATTCATTAATTAGTGATTAAAATGTAAACTTTTATAATTGAATAACTAAAACGAAAAATCGTCTAAAATTGGATTATTATTCTTGTAATTTACCCTTTTATTTATTTCGTTTTCTTCATCTCTTGGGTGTGGAAGTTTAGCTTTAGCACGAGTTAGGGTTTAAAGGGTCTTCTCATCTGTTCTTCATGAACAGTATAAAAGACATTATGGGAGCTGGTTTCATTTTCATACTTTGGTCTTTTTCAGACAAGATTTCAGTCCCAATACAGGAACATCTCCAATTCCCACCTTAAAAGCAGATATTAGTAATAATAGTATCAAAGGAAAACCAAGGTTTTTTGTACCAAAGTGGGGAATTGATATAGTAGTATAGTTTTTCTTTGACATAAATGTCCTTTCCATTCAACTTCATTTATATTCTTGTGTTTAATTATTTGGTTAAGATTAATGTTGGAGTCTCCATGTTAGGTTAACTAACCTAGTGGTAGAATGTCGGCGATAGCATATTCCCTTACTCAATTTTAATTTTTTTTTTTTATTATTATTATATGCTCTCGTGATTAGGGGCGAAATAGATAAATAGAGAAGGGGTCAAATAGTAAATTAAATTGATAAAGATATTAAAAATTTCCTGCCCATGGATTCACTTCTGCTTGTGATATGAACAAATTTAAAGTTGGTGTATTATCAATTATTAGATGATGCTAAAAATTTTAAATCCCATATATCAACTAAAATTGGTCTATGTGAGTTCTAGTTTTTCTCTTCCAATTCCTTCAAGTACTAGAATATAAAGAATTTAATAAAGTTGTTTGATTAAATGCGTGCAAGTAATGAAATAAGTACATAAAATTGTGTGTCTTAAAATCACTTTTAATCAGATAATTAAATGGATTAAGTTGCCTAATTTTGCTTTTTCTTCTTTTTTTTTTTTATAGCAAGAGCCAAAATTTGAAACTCACAAGAACTCCATGGAAAACTAGGTCAATGTTCTTTCCTTTCTTTTAAACATGTCATTGGTGAATGATATGATCAAATAACCAATAGGTCCACCATCTGATAAGATTATTGAAAGCACTACTGATCAAGTCGATGAGAGATTTGACATGCCGTAGACTTTGTTATAATTATAATCAGGGTTAGGTAATGACAAATTATATCAATAATTTACACATAGTCATAATTACGATTCATTTGTTGACAATTGATATAGTTTTAAGATCGTGAAGATGGCGGTTGACAAATGGTTCCACAAACACGAGACATGTAGACCCCGCCATTCCCATCTCTGAATCTTTCCTTTTTCACTTCCCTGCAGCTATTTGATCTCCTCTCTAAACCACGAAAGACTTCATGTTTAAGATACAGCCCGTTTCGCACAATCATTTTATTCAGACAACCGTTGGTCAATTCACATGTTTTAAGAAACAGTGGTTTGATAAGTAGCAAACAAATAAAGGGTTGTATCACGTTTGATTTGTAAATGTCTTACATAAAATTGGTAGAACAGTGTCTAATTTTGAGGACCTTTCAGTCTTATATTGTTCGTGACCAGGGGGCCTCCTAATTTGCACCTTTCCTTTTGTGAAATTTCATCATGAACTTCTCCTTTAAGTGTGAGTCAATCCAGACATTTAAAGCAGTCAAATCAATGCCGGTCTCTCACAATTCCCTGAAAATGCTGTTTTTGATCAAATCCTTTTCGATCTGTGAAGGAAAAAAAAATGTTAATCATGTTGAAGTCCTGTTAAAGTTGATTTTGTGTTAGGTATAACGTTGTAGCTAGATAAAACGATTTTGACAGGCAAAACTACCTACTTCATGAGTCATGAGTCATGAGTCGTAAATCGTCGCTTGCAACACGAATCTTATAATTATTTTCTCTTTTTTTTTAATCGAACTTGATAGCTTCTTTTCCAATCAGCTATTGCTTAAATGGTACAAATCTTTATCTTCATAGCTTCTTACACACGCATACTGTGACTAAAACAAAAACATTGCACCTAAATTGTCTTTCATATATCTTAATTATTATTTGAATCCATGTGAATGTGATGCAAATCTTGTCATTCATGTCCAAAAGTGTAAATAATTACCCACCTTTTTAACCACTAGAAATGAATTGAAGCAATGTGTAGTACACGATCTGGCAATATGCAATCATCGTTGAAGGCTAATTATGTATGGTGGGAAGGACCAGGAGGCAAAATTCAAGCACTAAGTCTCGGTCAGTGGCTTTATAGTTGGGGGTAGGGACATCGACTTTACACGTACTTCCATGTGATTAGCCATTCCTTGAACTCGTAATTATGTATCTTCATTCTTCAGGAAGGAAACACGAAACCCAACCAAGATTATTGTTTTAGGAAAATTGATTACTGTTAATCATTATCAAATCTCTACTCCCACACAGTTTATTCTCCACTTTCAGCATTTAAAATGCTTGGGAAATCGATATTAATTAAGTAAATACAGTGTGGGTGCAGCACTGTACTAGATTAAGATAATTTAATTACCAAAAACACCCACAGGAGGAATAAATGATTGATTAAAAGGGATTCAATTTTCAGTATGGTTAGTAGGACAATCCCACCATGCCTTATAGGCCTATGCATATATAACTTGGAGAATCAAAGATATAAATGATGGACTGCCATTTTTTCTTCCTTGAATCTATGATATGTTTACGTTTTAGAATTTTGTACATTTTTTTAATTAATAATTTAGAGAATTTTATATGGATTACACGTAAGACCTAAAGATATAAATCGAATAGACAAATTATTAAAAATGTATTTCATTGTATTAAAAAAATTATCAAGTTTCGGCCATATGATTTGGCTCACATGGATGTTATTAAAAATACAAATTTATGTTAGAATTAAAATAATATTTTCATTTACCCAAAAAAAATAGTTTAAAGAATTAAAAATCAACCATATATAAGAAAATTTTTTAACTCATATATTTGACAAATCAAAAAGATAATGCGGAGAATGCAAATCACAAACTCAATTTAAGACAGAAAGAATTTTTTTATTTTAAATTATCAGAATTTGAATCTTGAAGATGAAAATAAAGTTAAACAAATATTTTTCAAGGAAACTAGACAAGAGAAAAACATGTGTTTAATCATCTATTCCTCCATACTTTTGTATTAGGGAAATCATAAAGGTAATAATGGGATCTTATCAAATTAGATTTTTTTTATAAGCGAAGAGTAGCATGATAGTCGGAGGGGTAGAACAGGAAATGGAGAAAAAAAAAAAAAAAACCATTTCACTTGAATCCAAAAACCGCTTAACCAAATTCCTAATCCAAAAGCCACTTGCTTTTTGAGAAAAAGACACTAAAGTAGGCTTCTTTCCAATTTGATTGTATATAGGCTATATTAAAGCATCCCCACCCTCTATCCTCTATTCTTTTGCACAAAAAAAAAAAAAAAAAAGGCCAACCAAAGCCATCCAACTGAACTACCAAAGGCAAGTCATGTTTCCACCTCCATCCCCTCTCTCTTTCACACATATAGTAATGGATCATACATAAGCTGATACACAACAAAACTTACTTTAGCTTTTCAGTTTTCAGCCACTAACTCAAAAAAGACTCACCAGCTTCTTTGCTTTTCTTGTTTTTGGATTGTTGTAGATCTACAAAGAGAAGAAATAATTGAAAAGATGATTCAAGAACTCCTCGGAGGTGCTGCTGGCTTAAGTTTTGGAGAGGAAAGGAAAGTCTCCATCAGTGGAAGCATTTTGGAAGGAACCCTTACTTCTTCTCCATCACCATCTCCTTCTTCTTCTTCTTCCACAACTTCATCAACAACTACAACTACTAATTCAGCAACTTCGGGGAACCAGAATTTGAGGTGTCCCAGATGTGATTCCTCAAACACAAAGTTCTGTTACTACAACAACTACAATCTCACTCAGCCTCGTCACTTTTGCAAGTCTTGCCGTCGATATTGGACAAAAGGAGGTGCTCTTAGGAATGTTCCTATTGGAGGTGGATGCAGGAAAAACAAAAACACTAGTGTTTCAACATCTCTGGGAAAATCAAGTGCTGCTAAGATGAAAACAGTAGTATCTGAAATTGGAAGATCTGGCCTTGGAAATGGGTTTGATCATGAGCTTCAATCTAGTCCAATTCTGTGGGCTTCACCTCAGAGTTCTCATCTTCTAGCCTTGTTGAGAACTACCCAAAACCATAACCCTAACACTTTGTGTAATCCTGTTAGTATTAAGGAAGAGGTTAGCTTGCTTGGATCACACGTGATGAATGAGCAAGAAGTTGCAGCTGGTGCACTAAATACTCGAACCCTAGGCTTGGATCCTCTCAGCCAGGTTCCTTCTCTTGGACTTTGCAACCCTTTCTGGAAAAACAATCAACACCAAGCTCAACAGCAACAACAGAATAATAATGGGTTCCTAGTGAGAGAAGTTCAAAACACAGGAATTCAAGAACTGTATCAAAGGCTCAAATCATCGTCAAGTTATTGCTCTGATAGCTCAGCAGTAGTTCTAAGCAATGTGGCTTCTTCTTCATCTTCGTCTTCATCCATTTTGGAGTCAGCTCCAGTGGCAGCAGGAGAATTGGGTTACTGGAATCCGGTATTTTCATCATCATGGTCTGATCTTCCAACAACTAATGGTGCATATCCTTAAAGAACCCTTTTTCCCCTTCCCTTTCATTTTATCTCACCTTTTTATATGCTAATGTTGCCGCTTCTTCTGTTCGTTGTCTGTCTTCTGATATACGAATGTGGCTGTAGGGGTAGCATCAGGTTTTTTTTTTTTTTTTTTTCAATTATTTTTTTCCTTTCTTTCTTTTAAGTGTGTTTTAAGGTGTGTTTAATTAATTAACATGTGAAAGTGTACCAGGATGGAGAAGTACAAGTTGCTTTCTTATAGTTTTTTAGACTAAAAAAATCACAGCATACAAATTAATCAAAAGAGAATAAGCAGACACATGGGTACAACTTTATTATTTTGATCAACTCAAAAACTTTTTAGGGTTTCATTTCCTGATTTTCATAAACTATAAGAGACTGGTGGTGATGGTGGTGGTGGTGGTGAGTGTGTGTGTGTGTTATGAATTGGTGGGTTGCATATTAAAATGGAAGATTCTCTATATTGTTTTGTTATGAGAAAGTGATGAAATAAGTTTTCAAGCAGCCTTTGGGAAGAGTTTCCGTAAACAGCAATTTGATTCTAGCAGTTGATAGGAGGATTCCACCGGCAGCCTTATGTTAAAGAGTTGGTGTCTGTCCCTTGCCTGCTTCTCTGGAACTGGCTTCAGTTTTATTCCCTCTTCACTGTTCTTTTTTTTTTTAATAAATTTCAAACCCTTTTTCACTTTTTAACATTTCGTTCTATTTTTATACTTTTCGCATGCAAGGGGACATGGCTTGAGCTTATTGCTTTTGCCTCTGAAATTTGACATCTAAACTTTAGGCGTCATAAACCTTCAAATTAAAGCTTGTGATACTCTATATGGATGATATTAACCTTAAATTTCATAGGTGTTTATGTTTCCGACCCTATGAGATTGGACGTTACTTTCACCTAAACTTTTTATTTTGTTAATAACTTTTCTCTGAAAAAAAAAACTATACAATGGATCCTCAGTTTCGTATGCAGTAATCTCTCAAGCAAACTTCACCAATATGGCTGTAATGATTATGGCAAAGATGTGTACCAATATAGGTGGATCCCTCTTTGTGCAAATTAACTTAAGCCACAATCTGACGATGATTGTTGGTCATTTTCATCATCATTCAAACCAAACTTTGGTTCTCTCTAGCTTTATCATTCATGGATGGAAAACAATGCGCTCTAAGGTTGCGGCAGGATCAATTGAAATTTGAGTACTTCAAATTTGGTGCATGTTCACGCAGCATATTATATCAGTTGGATGAGTTGGCTATTGGCTGATCAATGAAACTTGTTTTTCAAGAATCATATGGGTAATGAAACAGGAAGGATATCAATGGGGCATGAGCCAAATTGATTTGCACAAGCTAGAAAGTGAAACTGTATATATCCTCACAGATGATATAAGAAATCATATAAAAAAATTTAAAATAAAATGTATCCATTTATTGTAATAAGTTGAAAACTTTATGATTATGATTAAATCATATAAGAAATTTTATGATAATTTGTAAGATCAAAACTTACATTTAAAGTGGTCATTTCAAGCCCTTGGAGCTAATACTGATCTCATTTAATGTCAAATTCGTTAGTAAGACTTCGAACAGGATTCCAGACTCTGAGGTGAAATTTTTGCCTAAGATACTGCCTTCCCCATTCTGAGACCCCACCAAGGATACCAATACCAATATGGCAGCCCAAGAATTTGCATACACGTACCTGCCAAAAAAATACAGGCATCATTAGCAGGAAAAGATTATATTATATATAGAGCTGGCCTAAAAGAATGAACTGAAATATGCAATACTATCTTCAATTTTTTTTTTTAAACATTAATTAGATACTAAAGTACCAGTTGCAATTAAGTAGATATGGATGAAAACTGACTGGATTTTGCACATACATGGTCAGTGAGTTAGAAGAGGAAAAGGACATAATGATTGCCATTGGTTTGATTAAGTTGTACGGTATTTGTTATGCCGACAAAATGCATGGTATATTATGAGCTGAAGTTTTGTTTTCAACCAAAATTTGAAAACATAGGAGACACCATTCCCCGCATAACGCAGCTTTCCATTTGTTAAAGATGCTGAGTTCGCCAAAACTATTGTCGTAGTTGGTGTTGTCTTCCCATAATGGAATGAACCCTCAGGATTAGGCCTGGCTGCGTTTGATTCCATGTTCAAGAAAATGAAGGAAAAAGAATCAAATAAGATCATACGTTTACTCTAAATTGAATTCTAGAATGAAGTAGTACATTAATCATTAAAGGTCATATGATCTTCCATTGACTAGTACCTATACGTTCTCACCTGCTTCATTGACCAATGAAATTGGAATGCAGGAGCAGCTGACAGGGGTCCAGAAACAGGGGTTTGCGAGTTTGCATGGTGCAATGCTGCAGTTGCAGTGAGAACAGTCTTGGGAAATCTTGTGGATGCGATAATGTTGTAGTCCTTTGGTGGCTGATTCAAGGTCACTAAGACAGCTACAGATTGGCCAACATTTACATCAAGAGAGTCATGTAAGTTCTGAATCACATGAGATCCTTCAACCTCAACTAGCTTCATCGTATGACCCTGAATCCTGAAGTTCAGTGAGGTGGATAATCCAACATTTGAGATCCTGAACATGTAAGTTTTGCCTGAAACACCACAAATAAAACTTATTTGGTAAAGGCATGATTCATTTTTGGAAAGAAAAAAAGAAAAAAAAAAGAGAAAACTTCAAATTTTGATTTGTGTTGAATGAATTAATAAAATTGCTATGAATTAAGCGATGAAACTTGATTGGTAATACGAATTAAATTTAATGATGACCTTGTTCTCCACTAAACGTAGTTTGAGTCTGGCCATTTATAAGGACTTCATCAGGAAAGGGCAGAGATTTTCCTGAGTCCAAAGATTGCTGCAATGTCTGCAAAATAGGAAACAATATATGATGAGTGAAGTACACATGGCAAGAAACCAGTTGGTGCATGGCAAGAAGGTAAAACATTCATAGAAACACCCCTTCCAAGAAAAATGCAGATTTAGAGCTTAAACTTTTTTAGCATCTTTGTAAACATATAAACTTGTTGGTATTCACATATGTTTACCATCCATGAATAAACAATATGCCCACCAACAATGCACAGTAAGACAACTAGGAGCAGCAGAAACTATAGAGACGCAGTTAACCCTCTAGTTGGTTTTCAATTTTTTGTCTAATCTCCAATATAATCTGAATTACAAAATGAAGCACATTTACCAGAATGAAAATGAACAACAACCGATTTGTTTCTTAGCAATGTTGGTAAAGGGGATCAAAAACAAGAAACAAGTTTTAACTGGCTAGAATGCAGTAGCAGCTCATTTAGATGTATGTATTATGTAATGTTTTTTGAAGGGCGAATAGGAACAGAATTCCAAATAGAATTGGCTCAAAACTCAGAAGCTCAACCGTTGGAACTGTTCGGGTTGACAGATCTGAACTGAAATTCTTATATCCTAAAACATAGCTTTGGCATTGTAAGAATGATAATGCACAGTTAATAACTAGCATGCCTTTATAAAAGTTATCGAACTTATTGTCTCTGATTGAAGAACAATGTCAGGAGTGGGGAAGAGGAAGATACTTTGCAATTGAAAAGAAAATCTTAACCTTTTGGGGGCAAAAAGAAAAACTATGAAAAACTAACCTTATGCTGGTCTTGTACCAGTCACCAATAAGTAAAGTGAAATCTCCATCAGGGTTTGCCTTAAGGGATTGGATCACACTTCTATGGTATATATTAAGTGATCCAAATCTTCCAGCAGCTCTATGCATTAGAGTTGATGGGAAATATGTGTAGGACCCAATCTGATCCTTGGCCTGGAACTTGTAGGTATAGTTTGAATTGGTTCCCAACACTCCATCCTGCCATAAGTTCTTCCTTAATTTGCTTGATGTCATTCCTGTTGTGATTAAAACAGGCCCTCATTATCATTTGACAATGTCATGAATCTAGATAGAAGAATGAAGTGATGATATAATAATAATAATAAAAAACAGTCTGGTATGTAAAACTATCGCTGTTTGTGAGATCTGGGGAAGGGTTAGATCAACTCGGTCTAATAATGATAATCAACTAAATTTGCGTCTAAAGCTAGGGCTAAAGAAGAGATTCAAAACAGTTCAGAAGGTCAAATTCCTCAATAATTGAAATTCAAAAAAAGAAAAAGAAAACCTCTATTAAATAAATACTAATGCAACTAATTGCCCTAATTTAGGCATGTTTTCTTCTACCCTTTTTTCATTTCCCTGACAACATTCTTCTAAAAATCTATATTATTGATAAAGGCAAAATGTCTTTCAAATACAAACGGATTCCTGCTTTAGAAGTTTCATCTTTCAATAAGATACATGTGTCATGTATAATTGCCTAGTCAATCTTCATACTCATCAAGTCAGTGCATTCTTGATGGTTACGTTACTATCAAGAGGAATGACGACCAGATTCCTCGCCATCATACAATTCGCCTTTTGCCAACCTAGAGCTTATCGTCTATATGAAGACAGCTCGTCTGACACCCCCACTAACATCCCATCAGTTCATCTTACAATAATTCAACTTGCACAGTCCATTCCAATCCACATGCACATTACTCGAGTTTCATATAAGTTTCCCATCAACTATCGCTTACTCACTATATGTCACCGTCTCATGTCTTATATATAAAACAAAAAGAAATCCAGGTATACTTTATAAACTCTTCATCTTTGAGCTTGCTTAACACTCTTATCTTCTTTCTCATTAACTCCAACTTCCTATACTTTGCTAATTTAAATACTGGAGTGCGTTTCGAAAATCAAACTCCGATGCCCTTTTATCGTGCTTTCTTTACTGCAAGTTTAGATTATTTCGAACTCACCTTCCAACTCATCCAGCTGCTCGCCTCTGCTCAGAGTACCCTTAACAAACAAAAGTTAAATGAAGTAAATTTATAGAAAAAGAAAATAGATTTTTCCATCATTTCCAAGATCCATAAGTAGGAAAAGCTGCAAGAGACCCAGGAACTCAGGGTTTCAAAGCAAAGAACAAAGTGTAAAATCAGAAGAACCAATGAGAGAGAGAGAGAGAAAGACCCACCATATCAACAAGAAAGGCTGGTCAAGCTTGTTAATGAGATTCAAGATAATGTTGTTATTAGTCACCACTTCAAGTTTTGGTCCAGGAAATTGATCATTGATAAGGATAACCTTCCAAAAACAACAAAAATCAAAACTTTTTTAGGAACCCCAGATCACATCCACATCAAAGCACATTACTTTCAACATTCCAAAAAAACAACTTCACATCATACCAACCAGCTGGGGAACTCCAAGAATAGAAAGAGTGCCTTAAGTAACAGTCCAAGTGTAATACAAATATGGGTCTTCAGCATTCACCAGGGACACACCCAAAACAGCCAAAAACTCCAAAAACCAAATGAGCATAACTGCTTTTCCTATATCCTTTCTTACCCTGACTGCCGCTGAACATAAACAAACCGAGACTTGTCGGTAAACTACAAAACCTGGCAGAATTTCGTTATCAGAATATATCACCCCTTGCCTGAAAGACAAACTTACCTGATTTCAGATTCGCTGGACAGTAAACTATTTTGAGGTCACAATCTAACGAAGTACAGAGCTTATATCCTATCTCTAACCTTTTTTTACGGGATACAGCCACTCTCCTTTAAACATTTCAACTAGAGAGTCAAGTTCAAGGATGATTTTTTTTTTTTTTAACAATATAGGTTTGTGTACTATCCACTTGATGTCGTCTAACAATAAATTCACTTGATTAAAGGACGACTTTGAAACACGATTTCTCAAACTCTCTAAAATTTCAATTCATAATCTGCTTTTAATTTGATTTTAATCCAACCAGATTTACAGATTATTGAACAACAATTATGATTCCAAATAAAAGAAAATTTTTACCTTCAATGGAATTTATAAGGTTTAGTTCTTAGATCCTTTTCAACAAGCATTATTGAAGTCTTGACTGACTACCGAGTCACCAGATTCAATGATTCCACAAATGCTCCATTCCCCGTAACTCCAACAAATAACTTAACAATCGAAATGCAGCTGCAAAAAACACCATCAAACCCCTCAGAATATTCCTTATTTAACAACAGCCGAATAATATTCAAAACTCAACATTACATCCCTTTCCCAATTCTCCATTGTAGCCATTTTTTGTAAAAAAATAAAAGTAATTTTAAAAAATTTTATAGCCAATATATAAAAGTCAAAATTTCATATAAAATTTCTTAAATTTTGAGTAAAGTTAAACTAAAACAATATATGGGAAGAAGGAGTTAATAGCTAATTAAATCAAAACTTATTGTTTCTGCTTTAGTTCGTTTCCTTCTTTCTTGCTATGTAGAGAAAAGAAAAGCTCAAATATATATTGTATTTTCACTGGATCAGTCATGTCTTTGAAGGGGCTTGGCTGCTACCGACTAGGTAGAGCAGATGCCGTGGATGCTACAAGACCTGGCCCTAAGGCCTTGCAGCCTTAATTGATTCCCTTTCTAATTCAAAACCAGATTTTCCTTGTCAGAATACAAAAAGATTTCATTGAAAAGTGAAAACTGTGTGCTATTGTTTGTTCCTATCAGAAAGTATAGAAGGAAGAAATTGACGTTGTGTGCTGTAAAAGCATTAGAGGAAACTCAGCCGAAGCTGAAACTGAAGCTGCCTAGAGAGCTGCATGGCTTCCACGTCTCTCTATTATTCTGCACGTGTAGAACAAACTACTCTTTGTTCTTCACTTTGTTCTCAACAAATAAACAATTAATTACTTGAAAATTCTAACCATTAAAGAAACAGAAAAAAAAAATGGCCCCCAAAAACTTTTGTTTCAAAAAATTTTAGTTTCAGGTTTCAATCATAAGCATGTCTGTCACACCACGATCTTCATCGATTAATGAGTAAGTTCAAGTACCGCAAGAGCATGTTAGTGTCGTAGGTGAAGCAATTAGTTATGGCATCTATGACCTTTTGTCTCATAGTTCTCCATCTGATAATGATAGCGAATGAGATTTGTGCATGGTATCTAGAACAAACAACTTCTTGATCAGTTAGCAAATTTGTATGAAGCCTATATATTAATTAAATGAAGCTTATACTCATCAAGCCCAATTCAACTTCAATTGGGTCTTGCCTTGTGATTTTGATTTCCGCGGCTCTCAAATCCTTACAAGGTATCAGGCATTCTTTAAGGTCTTAGAGGACCTGTGAGTTCCAAAAAAATAGAGTGAAAAGCCATCAAACATTTACCAACCAGCTTTTGTCAACCTTAAATGGCCTCAAGCAATTGCTCCATACCTCCACCTCCTATTTTCTCTGGTGTGAACTACCAGATATGGGCTGTCAAAATGAAGACTTATTTGAGTGCTTTTTGATTTGTGGGAAGTGGTGGAAAATGAGAAGGAACCACCACAACTTCCTGCAAATCCAACAGTAACTCAAATGAAAAATTATAGTGAAGAAAAAGCAAAGAGGTACAAGGCTAAAAGCTGTATAGAGTCTTCAGTTTTTGATGACATATTCATTAGAATCATGACTTGTGAAACTGCAAAACAAGCTTGGGATGTGCTTATGGAAGAGCTTCAAGGCAGTGACAAGACAAGACAAATGCAAGTGTTGAATCTTAGAAGAGAGTTTGAAGTCTTAAAGATGAAGGAGTCTGAAAATTTAAAGCAGTACAATGACAGACTCATGAAGATAGTAAACAAGATTAGATTACTTGGTGAGGAGCTGTCAGACAAAAAAATTGTAGAGAAGGTTCTTGTCAGCTTACCAGAGAGGTTTGAGTAAAAAATCTCATCCCTTGAAGACTCCAAGGACCTGACCAAAATAACTCCAGCAGAATTGTTCAATGCTTTACAAGCTTAAGAGCAAAGAAGGGCTATCAGACAAGAGGATTCAATAGAAAGTGCTTTTACAGCCAAAGAGAAAGGCAAGATGCAAACAGAAAGCAAAGGCAAAAAATAAAGAGATCAAAGAAAAAAAAGTTCTAGAAACAGTGAAAAGAAAGGAAAGTTCCCACCTTGCTCTCACTGTAAAAAGATCACTCACTTGGAGAAATATTACTGGTACAGACCTGACATACAATGTAGGTACTGTAAGCAGCTTGGTCACATAGAGAAGGTATGTAAAAATAAAAAACAGCAGCAGCCAGATCAACAAGCCAGAGTTGCTGACAAACAACAACAGCTAGAAGAGCAAGTTTTTGTTGTGACTTGCTATGGAACCAGAACCTCCTTAAGTGCATGGTTCATTGACAGTGGCTGTACATACCATATGGCATCTGATATCAACATGTTCAAAGAACTAGACAAGACCTGTACCTCTAAAGTCAGAATAGGTAATGGTGATTTCATAGAAGTAAAAAAAAAAAGAGTAGTGACAGTTGAGACACCAACAGGTACCAAACTCATTTCAGATGTGTTATTTGTGCCTAAAATAGATCAAAACCAATTAAGTGTAGGACAATTGCTAGAAAATAACTACTCTTTAGTTTTCAAAGACAAGGCATGCACAATTCATGATCCCACTGGCCATAAACTCTTTACTGTTAATATGAAAGGAATATGTTTTTCCTTGAATTGACATGAAGTAAACTCCTCTGCATATGTTACTTCACATGATGAATCTTCTTTATGGCATAAAAAGATGGGACATTTCAACTACAATGCATTGAATTTCATACATAAAAATGATATTGTATTAAACATGCCTACTGTTGAAGTCAATGTTGGAGTGTGTGAAGTCTGTCAGCTAGAAAAATAAAGTAAGTTGCCATTTACAATTAACAAAGCATGGAGGGCAACTGAAAAACTATAACTTGTTCATACTGATGTTTGTGGTCCTATGAGAACCTTGTCCTTGAATGGCAATAGATATTTCATTGCTTTTATAGATGATTTTACCAGAATGTGTTGGATTTACTTCATGAAACAAAAGTCTGAAGTTGCAAATGTATTTTGGAAGTTCAAGGCTTGGATTGAGAATCAAAGTGGCTGTAAAATCAAGATGATAAGGTCAGACAATGGTATTGAATACACATCTGACAGATTTAATGAGTTTTGTGAAGTTGCAGGAATTGAACACCAACTGACAGCAACTTACACTCCACAACAAAATGGATTCAGTGAAAGGAAGAATAGAATAATCATGGAGATGACAAGATGCATGTTGTTTGAAAAGAATCTTCCAAAGAAATTTGGGTAGAGGCAGTCAATACCTCTGTCTACTTGCTCAACAGGCTGCCCACAAAAGCTTTGAAGGAAAACACTCCTTTCGAAGCCTGGTATGGAAGCAAACCATCAGTGCACCACCTTAGAGTTTTTGGCAGCATCTGTTATGTGTTTGTTCCTGATATCAAAAGGGACAAGCTTGATCAAAAAGTAAAAATATATTTTTTTGGGCTATAGCAACATCACCAAAGGCTATAGGACTTACAATCCACTTACAGGCAAGATGATTGTAAATAGAAATGTGAGATTTAATGAGCAAGCTGCCTGGAATTGGAAAAAGTCAAAGGGAGAATCAGTCAAGCAAACTGCTGCAGACATGATAAGCTTCCAAGATCAAGAAGATTATATGTTTGAAAATGAAATCATTGATCATGAACCAGTGAGAGGAATCAGACCACTCACAGATATTTATCAAAGATCAAATGTTGCCATTCTTGAACCTGTAAGCTTTGAAAAAGTTGTCAAATTTTTAGAGTGGAGGAATGCTATGAAGGAGGAGATTCAAATGATTGAGAAAAATCAAACATGGATGCTGGTTGACAGACCAAGCAACAAAAACATCATTGGTGTTAAATGGATTTTCAGAACAAAGTTGAATGCTGATGGTTCCATCAACAAACTTAAAGCTAGATTGGTAGCTAAAGGCTATTCCCAGCAGCTTGGTGTTGATTTTTCAGAGACATTTGCTCCAGTTGCAAGGTTGGACACCATAAGGCTGCTATTAGCCTTAGCAACTCAGCAAAGTTGGAAAATATACCAACTTGATGTCAAATCTGCCTTCTTGAATGGTTATCTTGAGGAGGAGATTTACATTGAACAACCTGATGGTTTTATTGCCAAGGGACATGAAGGTAAAGTCTATCTACTCAAGAAGGCTTTGTATGGATTAAAACAAGCTCCAATAGTGTGGAATTCCAGAATTGATGATCATTTACTGAAGTTAGGATTCAAGAAAAGCCTCAGTGAAGCAACATTGTACATTAAAGTTTTTAACAGTAATGATCTATTGATTATTTCTTTGTATGTTGATGATCTTTTGGTGACAGGTAGAAATCTGCTCTTGTGAAAGATTTTAAGGTCCAAATGCAAGAAATTTTTAAGATGACAGATATGAGAGAAATGTCTTACTTTCTTGGAATAGAGATTCATCAAGATCAGCAAGGAATCTTCATTTGTCAAAGAAAATATGCAAATGAAATCTTGAATAAGTTTAGGATGGAAAATTGCAAACAAGTCAACACTCCTTTGGCTCAAAATGAGAAACTTATTAAGGAAGATGGAGCTAACAAAGTTGATGGTTCTATTTATAGAAGCTTGGTTGGTTGTTTATTGTATTTGACAGCAACAAGGCCAAACATCATGTATGCTGCAAATTTACTCTCTAGGTTCATGCAAAATTCTAGTGAGTTACATTTTAAGGCTGCAAAAAGAGTATTGAGATATGTCAAAAAAACTAGTGAACTTGGAATTTGGTTCAAGAAGAATGAAAGTTCAAGATTGGTTGGATTCACATACAGTGACTGGGCTGGCTCTGATGAAGACATGAAAAGCACTTCAGGTTATGTGTTTTTCATTGGATTAAATGTGTTCAGCTGGAATTCAAAGAAACAAGAAACTGTGGCTCAATCAACAGCAGAAGCAGAGTATATAGCTGCTGCAGCTGCTGTTAATCAAGCAATTTGATTAAGAAAAATTCTGATGGATTTGAGTCAAAAGCAAGATGATCCAACAGAATTTTTTTGTGATAATCAGTCAGCAGTTGCAATGGTTAAGAACCCTGTATTTCATGGAAGAACTAAGCATAGTAAGATCAAGTATCACTTTATTAGAGAAGTTGAAGTTGAGAATGAAGTGAAACTGGTGCATTGCATCGAGATCAAATTGCAGATATTCTGACAAAGCCTCACCAAGGAAGGTTTGAAACATTGAGGAAATGTCTTGTTGGTGTTGTCCAGCAGAAATGCCAAGGAGAGTGTTGTGTGTTAGTGGTTGAAGCAACTAGGTATGCATTTCTACTGGCACTTTTTGTAATAAGTTCTGTTCATCCCTGATCAGTTTAGGTTAACATGATGGATCTGTGCATGGTTTGATCATACTGTAGGCAAACAACTCTTGTAGTAGTTAAAACAAACTTTGTATGTTAAAGCCTATATATTAAATGAATGGAAGTCATGATCTGCAGAGCCAATTTACTTCAAGTGACAGATTAGTTTCTTCTGTTTTTTTGTTCTTTCTCTGCTCTAAATCCTTCAGAGCAACACAAGCTCTCTAATTACAAATGTTCTCAAAGTGAAAAGTTTTTCTTGATATATGTATCTTGTTTTATTTGGGGCAGATACTTTCAGAGATATAATTCTATGGAGAAGAATGAAGGTGAGCGCAACTGTTCTTCTCATTTCAATAGCAACATGGGTATTGCTAGAAGTTTATCAGTTCAACTTCGTCACTGTTGCTTCATGGTTTGCTATCTTCATTGTTGCTTCACTCTTCCTTTGGGGAAATGTACTGAGGCTTCTTAGAAAGTAAGTTCTGAATTATCCCTTCTTTTAATATTGAAAAAGAAAAGAAAAAACATTATTTATTTTTTTATTATTATTTTTTTTTTGGCCTTGTGGCGTTAGAGAGCCACCAAACTTGTCGGATTTGGAAATCTAGGAACACACTGCCTTCGAGATTACAAACACATGTGAAAAAGTTATTGAATAAGTGTTGAGATGGATGTTTCATGTGACTGTTGAGGAGGACTGGTTTGCATTTGCAAGAACAGTTGCTGGGCTGTTGTTACTTTCCAATGTTGGAAGCTTCTTTGATTTGCTAACACTTCTTTACATAGGTAATATAATCAAACTACTTTCTCTCCATTGATGCATATCTTTCTCTTTCAAATGAAATATTGTTCTTTTTTGTTTTTTTAATTTTCTGTTTTGGTTTCTTGCAGGTACTAAGATGGTGATGACTGTACCTGTGATATATGTGAAGTATGGGGACCAAATAAAGAGGTGTGGAGAGAGGGTGAAAGCTCAATTTAGAAGGATTTATGAGATGTTTGAAGAGAAAATGATGAGGAAGATGAAGAAAAAAATTTTCAAACAAGAAAAAGAGAAGAAAGTTGAGTAGTGACCATCTTGATTTTCAATTAGGGATGGTATAGCTATCTGCAATTTTTCTTCTTAATTTTTCTTAGCCTTCATGCATGATGATCAGCTCAAATTAGATGAAATAAGTCCGCAAGAGGAGAGTGTTATGGAATTTGCTTATTCTGTTATTAAATTTAAAAGGGTACAAATTAATTTAGGAAATGAAGCAACAGGAATCATCACCAAAGTAATTGTTATGAAATTTAAGGGGACCAAAAATAAAAGAGGATGTACAAAACCTTGATTTCTTTTACAGGTGTTAAGTATAAATTATCAAATGGAAAGGAAGACATCACAGATCTAACAAATAATAAACTAGGTCACTAGAGAGATGTTATTTCCATCTTCAAAAAATACCTATATTGCTACCCTCCCTATAAAGTATATGAAGTGAAGAATCAGAGTTTTCCAGCCAAAAGCTTTTAACTTGCTCATCATATTTATAGGAAATTTGCTATGGTGATGTAGCAATGGCAGCTGGTGTTAGGAACAATGCTCTTGCAACTTCAACCAGAGAGCTATATTGGGTTTTTCCACAAGAACATGACACAGTCAACATTCTCAAGTCCATCTATGAACGATGGGAACTCACTCCTATCCGTAGTTATGGAAATAAAGCAACTGCATCAAGGACTGGAGGCATATTCAAAGATGATGGGGTAATTTCCTTGTGCAGCTGAACCATGCAACATAGCTATTTCATAACTTTGCTGAGGTCCCTTTCACAGAACTATGGCAGAGGCATCGGCATATGAGGGAAACTCTAAAACTGCCTCATTCTCTTCAGGGGATCTCTCAGGTAAATATCTCCTTGTCATTCCAGCAAATTATGGAAACTACAATGGCGCACTAAAATTTGGTAGTACGGACAACTTCGGTTCCATAAGATAATCAAGAAACAGACAAGGAGGTGGTGACAGGAGGTACCTCAAAATCCATTTCAACATAACAGCTGGGATGGAATCTTCAGAATTTGGAAATGCATGAAGAGAGGACAAAGATCATTGTCCTCTTGAGAAGTACTAGTTAGATTGAACTTGAACATTTAGAAGATTCAATTCAACTGCTCAACCCAATAACAGCTCTGTCAACAAGACAGCCAAGTAGAGCAAATGACTTGTACCAGTTCTGAGTACCAAGAAAAGATCAAAAGATAGCTTTTAATTGAGTTCCCTCAGTCAAATATAACCATTGTCAAGAAACCACAAAATTTATCGTTAGAACGTATATACACTTGATGAAACAAGGTATTCAGTAAACATACCTTGTATTCTTGAAGCTGGAATTCCTGATCTGCTTCAATATGCCCCATAGTCAGTATTCTCTATTCTATTTGTATTTTAAATGGATTTTCCACAGTCAATAATTGCATTGAAACACAGCAGTGCCTGGTGAAAGTACTGATGAAGTTTTTGTCTAAATCACCAATAGTCTCTATAAGAACAGTTTCCGTCCTCAAAGCAATGAAATCGGTTTGAATCCCTTACAGTTATTTTTCTGTTAGCAAACTTTGAGATATATTTAATGGAGTTATGGCAATCTATGTCCTCAAATTCTTGAAAACCTTGATTGGTGTTCCTGGAGCATTAGCAATAATTCCAAATGCAACTGCTAACTTCTCACCGTGGTATGAGAGGTTTTGCTCCTTCTGCTCCTCCACATCTTGCAGCACAAAATTAGTGTCGGGGACATACGCTTCTTCCCTCATTTTCTTTGAAAGCTTACCCAAGAACTCGTGTTTCCCTGGATTTTGGGTGAGAAGTATCTCCCACTAAGAACACATGTAGCTCTCTCTTGATTTCAATCTAGCTCAAACCTGGTTGCTTTACCACTCCTCTGTCATCCATTGACTTACTGATTTTTGCTACTTCATCCCACCTACCAGCAGTGGCATGTGTTCGCCACAGTAACATAGGTCGCTGGATTTTCAGGTTCTATCTCAAGGAATGCTTCAGCTGCTCTTTCCGCCAGTTCATGGTTTCCACGAATTCTACAACCCCAAATAAGGAAGCCCACAAAACTTTATCTGGTTTCATGGGCATCTTATTAATGATATTCTCAGCTTACTGAAATCGGGCCAATAAATCAATTATACAAGCATAATGATCAGAAGTATGGGTTTATCCATGTCTGTCCTTTATTGATTGGAAATATTCTAGCCCTTTATCAACCAATCCAGCATGTGCGCAAGCAGAAAGAACCCCAACAAAAGTAATGTCATCAGGTTCGGTACTTGATTTAAGTAACAACTCAAAAGTACTCCAAAGACTCATCAGGCTGACCATTCTGCCCATAACCATTGATCAAAGAAGTCCACAAAACTAAATCAGCCCTAGATATTCCATTAAACACCCTTTTGCATTCTCAACATTTCCACACTTGGAGTACATATGAACAAGAGCACTAGCAGCAAAAGAAAAAGGATTGAAACCAATCCTTGTCATGTATCCATCAACCTGCTTACCTATTTCCTCAGCAGCATTATCAGCACACGCATTTAAAATCCCACCAAATGTAAACTCATTAGGTCTTATCCCCGATTTCATCAACTACTAAAACAATTGAAACCCTTCTTCCCACCTCCCATCCTTAAAATACCTATCAATCATTGCAGTTCAGGCAACAATATCTCTATCCACCATCTTGTCAAAAACTGACCTTGCTTCCGCTATGCTCCCACATTTCCCATGCATATCCATTAAAGCACTCCAAACAACGTCATCCCAGTCCAACCTAGCTCGGGTTACGTGACCATGAATCTCCTTCCCCATAATTAAACACCACACGGCAGCATAAGCAGCTAATGCGCTAAACACGGTAAACTTATTCAACTTCGAGAGCAAGCTCATTTCTTTCATTGTGAAAAGCTATCAAGCTTGGCTTATAAAAATTGAACATAACCCAAAATCATTGCGTTTCACGAAAAATTACCGGTCATTTCATCAAACAACTTCTTCACTTCTTTAACCATTCCCATTTTAGCATATCCAGATTTCAAAGTATTCCAAGAACACAAATCCTGTTCACTCATTTCATCAAACAATTTCCGGGCATCTAACAAACATGAGGGTTTAGTAACTAAAAGCTGGAGGTTTTTAGATTTGATTAAGGATATGAAATGCTTCTTTTAAGCGTTTTTGGTTGTGTAATTGATTTATGAAGAAAATTTTGCTGAATAATGCGGTTGTGGTTAATGAGAAATTTGAAAATCAAGAATTTTATACAGAGATGGAGGCCCAATTGTAGGTTAACATGCCAAATCTTCTATTCTATGTTAAAACTTAAAGGGTAAGTATTACACAAAGTAGACATATATTTATATTCAACTGCAAAAAAAACAGAAACAAGCAAAAAGTACACGACCATTGTCAAAATACAAGTGAGAGTTCAAGGGGAAGGAGAGGATGTGGAAGTTGGGGAGATGATCATCCGATATAGAATCTTTTTCCAGTGATCTTTCCCTTGTAAAGTAGTATTAAATATCAATTTCTTCCACAGATTTGTGAAAAGCTTAATGCTATTAACATAATGGACACAATGGACCATGACAGTTTTGAGACCAGCATCGTGCATGTCACTACAGTTTTTGTCTCTGATACTTTACCTGGCAGTCTAGCATAAATTCTCTGGAGCTAGTTCTTCACATGTTGATATGTGCAAAACAACTGCATCATTGCGGAGAAGCTGTCTTCTTCATATTACATTGCATCGACTATCTCACCACTGCTATCAACATCAAGCTCAGATTCGGAATCCAGGTCATCCATGTCCTCATCATCAAGGAAATCTGGCATGTAATGGTTTAAGCCATAAGCCCCAGCAGCTGGAATGGTGGCCTCAGCAATTATCTGCATGATTGTGTCTGTGCTCTGCATTGGTTGATCAGGCTCCTCAAAGTGGTTATCCATTGTGTTTTCATCCATTAGTTCAACAGGGAGATTCTTTAAGAACCACTCATGATTTCTAATTTCTGGAATTGTGATTCTCTGTCACACAAAAGAATCCATTATCAGAAGGCTTAATCACTTTGGGATAATGGTAGTTGCCAAAAGTTACCACAAAAAGCAAAAAGGACACTCCCTCTGTCATGTAAGTTTCTCTCTTTCCTTCCTCGGATGTTCATGTCCCAAAATAAGAAGTTAGCTTTGAAAAATCAAGGAAAATTTTAAATTGGCAGTAAGCAGAAATTACTCACGGCTATAGGATCTGCAACAAAAATCCTTGAAATCAGATGTTGACACTCAGGAGATATTTGGACAAAATCAGGAATGGAGTACTGGACACTCAGAATTCTCTGCATGAACCAATAAAAGACATGAACAATAGATTTATTTGGGAAAAAATGAGACTAATGCAATAACAAGATCCATTGACATACTTGTATTGTCTTCCGAAAGTCTCTTGGCTCATCAGGATCCTCAAAAGGATATGCCCCAACTAGCATTACATACAAGGTAACCCCACATGACCATACATCCGCAATCTGATATCACAAAACAAAGTCATTAACTCATTTTTACTAATTTCCATATTCTAACATCAACATGCACAAAAGTTCAATTCACTTGGACATAAGAGCATCAAAGAAAGTTGGCAGATATTAAGTTACTAACTCTCTCTGGTGTTCTTTCATGTGCCTCTGAATATCAACAAATTATCTACCGTTCAAGATCTTGTCAAAATTTGCAACTATTTGCCTTGTCTTAAGATGGCCCATACGACATAAGAAATAATCAAGAAGTGCAAAGCAAAGTGCAGCCAAAAGACCAGTTCCAATTCATCAAGAAATAAACTACTCATATGGGCTTCACACTCTAGTTGCAGCTGACCATATTAAATAAATATGTAAATTGGCATGCTAATGCAGTCCCTAACAATCTCCTATAGTCAAAAAGGTGTAAGTAACCCAAACCTAGCCATCAACAATTAACTAATAAGAGCTTAAAGGAACAACCAATCATTCCAGAAGACTAAACCAGATCCATGCAACAAATCCTCGCATTATGCATAAGTAGAACAATGATTCACCATTCCATGCCTTCCTAGTTAAAGGACTGACTAGGCAGCAGAGGATCATTTCTAACCAGCATTTTTTGCAACTGTCATCTCAAAGGCTATGAATAGTAAACTGAAGTTTTAAATCAAGTTGTGAAAACCATCAACTTGATCATTTCACCCAAACAAACAACTAGAATGCAGTGACCATCCCCTAGAACATCTAACTCTTAACTCTTAACAAGGGATTGCAAGTAATTGTAAACTGACATTCTAAACTAATTTGAACTGTATTGTAAATATACCTTGCCATCATATTCTTGCCTTAGGAGTACCTCAGGAGCAATATATGCAGGAGTTCCAACAGTGGATTTTGGTTGCGAATGAAGCACTGAAGACTGAGAAGGATGACCACAATCAAACATGTAAACAAGATAATGATCTTAGATAACCATAAAAATATTAAAAAATCAAAAGAAGAAATTTCTTAACCAAAAACCAATCATATTGCATGCTACTTCACCCAAATGTACCAATATAATGGAAGCCAATTCCAGGACAGAAGAAAAATGAGCACGAGAAATTTAAAAAAATAATAATAATTATCATAATCCAATCTAAATTAAGTAAAGACAACCTCAATGAGTAACATAATTCTAAATGTTTCACATTATAGAAAGTAGAACCATTAACCTCATCAAATGATAGGATAACAACAAAGGTTCCGGTGATTTATACCTTGGAGTACCCAAAATCACATATCTTAAGCCGAGGAGCTGGACTTCCATCCAACAAAGTGTTTTCCAACTTCAAATCACGGTGGCACACTTGCTTCATTCAGAAAAATAAATCATATTAATGAGCAAAACAATTTATCCTGTTGCACATAATAAAATTTCAAAAGTAAGCTGATAAATTATAACTACCATTGCATGGCAATAACTAACACCAGATATAAGTTGTTGAAAGAAGAATCGAGCCTGCACCAAAATCCAAAATCATAAATATAAAAATAAAACAAAACCACAAAATAAGATTTTAAATTAATGTAAAATAGGACAATCAACCTCATCCTCATTGAATCGACCAGCAGCAGCAGCAGAAATTCGCTCGAAAAGCTCTCCCCCCGATGCATACTCCATTACAATGGCAAGATGAGTAGGTGTCAAAATAACCTAGAGTAACATCTTCCATAATTAGTTCATTAAAACATTACATAATTTGAACGCAAGGCTTAACTAAGTGGGTTCATGCAATCATCCATAAAAGGTCGCATCCGGTAAATTTAGAGTTCAAATATCAACACCTACAAACCTTTTCCGCTACAGCCTCCTTTGTACCAAAAACATAGTACTTAATTTAACATTCATACACACAGACACGCATACATACATGAGTAAGTATTAACCTCACCTCTTTAAATCTAACAATATTTGGATGCCTCAATGACTTATGATTAATAATTTCTCTTTGCACATTTTCATCTATCTGCATAACAAAAGGTAACAAGAAATTTTAATCCGCATATTAAAATTTAAAATTTAAAAAAAAAAAAATTAGTCAAGTAGTTGAGATATGAGAAAACACAAAAGTCGGCCTTTGTTTGGAATAATATTATACTAGCAACCAAACATCAGATAAAACATTTCCAAATTTCACAAAATTAATACAATAAATACCCACAATTTAGGAAAAGTGAATATCCCAAACAAGAAAAAAGGACATCGCTGTTTATAAATTTACAGAACTAACCTTATCGCCTCTCTCGATGTATTTGACAGCTACGAGCTCCTTGGTAACCCTATCTCTCATAAGCCGGGCGACTCCGAAATTACCCGACCCGATATCTCTTACGAAATCGTAACGGTCACTTTCGTGCATGATCGGCATATCCATAGCGGGTCCGACCGTTATGCCTGCCCGATCCATTTTCTCTTTTTTCAGTTTCCTGTTCTACACCCACAGAAAAGAACTCACGACCACATCACCGAGCTGAACCTCAACACCCGGCCGCAGATTTTTAAGATGAGTCACTGAGTTGAAAGAGTCGGTTAACAAAAAAGAAAGCGTTTTTAGTTATCGGCGATTAGTAGAGTGGTTCTGCAACAGTAAAGGGAGGAGGAGAGGAACTTTTGGGGCAGGGGAGGTAATAATTCCCAGGAAATATTTGATAAGAGCAAGGAGGAGAAGACAAAACCGGCGTCGTTTTATTGAGATCGTCGTTTGGTTGGTAACCAACCAATAGGATTGGCTCTTTTTCTCTTTGTCTTATTATTTGTTTCTGGATTGATTTGACCTTTTGTTTGGCCGAAAAACTTGAATGACTTAAATACCCCTACTTTGGATTTTTTTAAAGTGGAGTCACGTGATTTCGGAATGCTAAAGAGAATTTATGCCGTCTTTTCCTGTTAAAGTGATCTGACGGTTCTAGTTTAATCATTGTCCAAATTAACACGCAATGATATTATTTTTTAAGATTATCATTTGCTTTTTGTTTTTCTTCAAAAAAATTTTTTTTTTTTAAGTTGAAAATAAAATGAACTATACATGTACCTTGACAAGCGTATAAAATAATTACCTTAAAAAGATGTTTTGGTAAATTCAGATAGAATATATTTCCATTCTTGGACAAAGCCTTAGGAACAAAGGAAAGTCTGTTATTTTAGATGTATTGACAAAATATGATATAATAATAAAATATAAAAATAATAAAAAATAAATATTATATAATTTAAAATTTTAATAATAAAAATTAAAATTAAGAATAATATTTATATTTTTTATTTTAATACAATTATCATATAAATATACGAATTATCTTAATTATTTCTCTTCGTTTATCGTTTTTTCTAATTTCGGTCTGAGATTCAAGAGTATATCTTTCCCTCTCATTAGGCTTTTGCTTTACTTTTACAAACTTTTTGTTTCTTTTCTTTTTTTTTTTTAGAGCCAACAATTATCCTAGATGGTTACGGAAGATAAATACAATGGATAAGACATTGAATTTTTGTATGTTCCTTAGGCATGTTGTTGATTTGGAGAAGCAATCTCAGCTGTTCCTTCTCTTATTGACGATAGGACATTATCAACCAATCAAAAACGACACCCACCTTTTTCAAATTTTGTTTTCAATTACCTATAAGCCTTTGATGGATGATTGGATATCCAAATGATACCCAGACCAAAAATTTTACAAAATTACAATTAAGGAAGAAATTTTATTTTTTCCATCTATTTAATATGCATGATAATTTGTAAGAAATGAGACAGGCTGTATTTGTAGAGATCATATATAACTTAAAAAATATTGCCTATTTTGATATAAAATTTTCATAATTTTATTTTTATAAAAAGATCCCGTAAATATAAATTTGAGTTTAAATTTATATATCATATTATATTTTCACATTTTTTTAATATGAAATTAAAAACATCATTATCTTTTTCTTGTTAAAATTTGATATTTTCGTCAAATTTAATATAAAATACACATAAATTCATAAAATTACACACATAAAATCATAGAATTGCGGAATACATAAATCTATAAAATCGTATATACAAAACTATAAAATCATAAAATTAAGATCACACCCGATATTGAGATAACATTTAGCTTTTTTTTTAATTTTAAATGTAGCTCTTATAATGTAAGTACTTAGGTCTTATTTGATTGATAATTGTTTTGATATTATTTGTTTAATTTTACATCTAAGTTACAATGTATTATTTATTTTAATAAAAAATTTTATGATTTTATCTCACAAAAATATTTTACAAATATAAATTTGAATATTAACTTATATATATCATATCATCACATTATTCTAATATTAAATTGAGGTTGTCTCAGTGTTAAATTCAATAATGCCAAATCTTAAAGGAGGCCGGCACAAATAGAATAGTTCAAATAAATTTCCAGAACACCATTTTATGCACTATATGCTTTTTATAAGAATGTTATTTGTGCGTCATTTGTTTTTAAAATTATATCACTTGTTTTGATTCTATAAATGAAAATTATATTTGACTCGCACCATAAAAATTATATATAAAAACCTCAAAATGAGCTGAAAAATAACATTAATATTATTTTAAGTCATTTATTTAAATACTTGGAGTGAGTTCTTAAATTCTAACTTTGGCATCTTTTAGTTTTTTATTTTTTTTAATAAGTCAAATTTTCATCTTTCCGACTAAAAAATAAAATAATTTATTATTATTACATATAATTATTTAAATTACAATATTATAAAAATATATATTAAATTAAATAAATCAAAATGAAATACTGATAATCCATTGCCAATTTTATTCCTCTCGTTTATTTTTTATATGGCATTGTGCTTACCATTATTTTAATACATCGGTCCACGTTGTACAACCAGCCATGTGACGCGTGTATCAGCTACATCTTATAAATAAATAAATAAATAAAGGTTTGTACAGGAATTCAAGGTAAAAACGAGGGTAAATCGGTAAGATTAAAAAATCCTTCGAGGAGGCCAGGAGTTTTAAATTGTGTAGGCCCCATACCCTCAACTTTTATAAAACTCGCTCCAAACGAGTAGGGAGTAACGGGTGAGCCAACCTTTTCACTTATTTCCACTTTTGTCCTCTTCGTTTTTCCGCTCTTCAATATAATCTCCTACGCCACCCGACTCACTGAGTCCGGGAACCGAAATGAAACAATAATATGCTTGGACTAACGGAAATGGTGTCGCAATCGGAGCTAATCGCCGGACTTCATGAGTTCTTGAACGAATCGGACCTGAGCACGACGACGAAAGCAATCGTGCGGCGGAGATCGGAAGCAGATTTCGGGATTGATTTATCAAAGAAAAAGAAGTTTATTAGGGAGCAAGTCAACTTATATCTCCAAGGCCAGTTCGAAATGCCGAAGAAGAAGATCAAGAACACGAAGAAGATGATCAGACGGGAAAGATTAAATCAGAGGAAACCGACAGCTCTGATTCGAACGAGGAAGAGGCAGAGACTGAAAAAACGAGGAACAAAAGGGCTCCAGCAAAGGAAGGGTCAGTTATATAAATTTGATTTTATGGAAACATTTTTTTCTCTTTTCCCTTTTAAATTGTAGTAAGATTTTTGCTCGTAAATTTTAATGAAGAAAGTTTTGTGTTCACTCCAATGCTTTAAAACAAATGCAAGCTTCAATAGATTCTCTTCATTTAGTTTGAATTTGGCCATTGGAACAGGAAATTCAAGCTTTTTTCTGCCCTTTAATGGTATGTGCGTTTAAGCTTTGCTTGTCATATTATGGATTTTCAGTTCATATGCTGCAATTTTTCCCTCCTTTTCTCCTAAATCTAATCTGGTAGACTCCTGAGAATCCTGGACAATCTCAATTTCTTGTTTTCTTGTCATTCTTTGATGTTTTGGTTTCTGGAAAAAAGGAAATGGGTTGGTCTTAAACTTGTAATAATACAGACTCGATTTTTGACATGCAAACAAGATAATTAGCTTTTGCAGTAAGTCTTATATGTTGGACAGACTTCTTGTGTAGGCTTTTGTTAAAGCTTATACGTTGTGATTTCATGTTGGACAGTGAGCATATCATATTTAAAAGGGATTTTTGTGCGAATTGCTGATCTTATGTGAGCAGCTTATCGTCTCTCTCGAATCCACTACGAACTTGTAGGAGTCCCTGCATTGGCGAGGACTTAGGTACTTCTATAATATCCTGAAATTTCATTTTAACTTCTTGTTAATTTCATAATTTAGGAAGCTGCCTTGTTCTTAATTATCTGTTTTATATTGGTGTTAGGTAGTCAAGCAAATATGGGCTTATATCAGGAAGAAAAATTTGCAAGACCCAGTTAACAAGAAAAATATAATTTGTGATGAGCCATTGCATGCACTTTTCGGTGTTTGATCCATTTACATGTTTCAAATGAACAAGGCCCTGTCAAAGCATATCTGGCCCTTGGATTCAGATGAAGGTAATAGCATATCTGTCCTTTCTACCATTTTGCTTTTGCTAAACGTTTTTAGATAGTGTCATTTCATATATTATTTGAAAATTGTGAATAAAAACTGCCTATTCTCTACAGAATTGGCTCTTGTCATCACATTGCAATTGTATTGTAATTTTGAAAAGCATTTCTTACTTTTAATTTTTATTTTTCATCTCACTGTCTAGCTTCCTTGGGAAGTGAGGGCGTTATTTACCTAATTTTCAACTAAATCAAGGAAGAATATCTTTTGTGTCTTGGTGAATATGTTTCAAACGTTTTATTACTCAAATCTATCTATTATCTTTATGAAGTGCTAAATTTAACTTTATTGGCTTTCATGTCACAATTGTTTCAGTCAAGTCATCGGAGCAGGAAAAGCAGCATATGCATCAGAGAGAAGCAGGTATGGATGGTAAATGACTAAATTAAGGTCTTCCATGCAGAGCTTCTTTTGCATTGGCATGAGGAGTTAGTATGGCTTATACTCGCAACCTGTCTACCATTGCTAACCTTAGCAATGCCTTGCAGCTCAGATTTTGCTTCCCTACTACCACACACAAATTTGTAAATAGGTCTTTTGACTGTTGTTTCTTGAAAGAACCTTCTCTTTTACATGGATGCAGAGGAAGATGAAAAATCAGATGGCCGTAGCTGGAGAAGCTGCTAATTCTCTTTCACAGTAGCCACTCCTAAACAGATTAGAGAACTGATGCAAGTTGATGGTCTCACCAATAATGAAGTAAAAAGCCATTTGCAGGTTAGTCTTTAGCATGTGAAATCTGATCATATTATCATTTTATCTCCTTTCTGGGTTACTGATCTTGTGTGTGAATTTCGGTTTACGTACAGAAATACAGACTTCACATCTGAAAACTTCCAGCTTCTTCAGCTGGGAAAGGAAATGGCCCATGGTTGGATCAAAATCAGTGCAGTGAGCACATGAAAGCAAACATTTCACCATCTGGTTCTCCTCAAGGTCCCCTCCTTGCTAATGCTTCTGCTAAAGGCATGTCAAGTACAGGAGGTGACAGCATGGATGCGGAAGAAGATGAAAAATCAGATGGCTATAGCTGGAGAAGTGGAGAAGCTGCTAATTCTAGCTTTGTCTAATCCATTTAGGTACAGATGCAGAATATTGCTCCGTATGCTTTTTTTCATTCTCATATTTCTTCATATGCTTTGTCCTAAACATGTTTTGAGTCAGGTTTCCACTGGTTGTTTTCTTGGAATAATCTCCTCTTTTTTCCAAACTCCAATCCTGAACCCTGCAATGTGATGATAACTGTGTCCTCCCTTCTTTCTTTCTTGTGCATGCATATGTATCTCACTATTTGTGTGACAGTATCAGTTAATTAATTAGTTTTTTTTTTTTTTTGAATTATGATAAGCATGTTGTAGACAGTTCACCACTATAGGTTCTTAACCTTTCTGTTGTTGCTTTTTTCTTCTTTGCCATTTCAGATCCAGATGAGCCAAAAAAAAAAAAAAAAAGGAAAAGCGACAGAAGGGATTTCTTGCTTCTCTTCAACTTTCAGATGCTCTGGTAAAATTTCTCGGTGCTGGAGAAAATGAGCTCACTCGGGCTGTTGTAATAAAGAGAATGTGGGATTACATAAAAGAAAACGACCTCCAGGCATCTGATTGCCCAACTTGCAGAATTGCAATACATCATGGTTACCCTTTTACTTAATTGTAGTGATCATAACTGCATAATAGTAATCTACTCACTGTAGCCATTCTCTCTTGAACTTTTTGATGTCCTTTTATCTATCACTCCAGTCTGCTATTCTTGATTTGGATATACAATATTATACTGGGTTTAAAAGATGAATTATTTTCAACTTCTTTTTGCTCTTTCATGAAGGATCCATCTGACTAGAGGAAAGTAATATGTGATGAAAAGCTGAAAGAACTCTTTGATGTTGAAACCTTCACTGGCTTCACTGTTACAAGACTCTTAGCTGCTCATTTTCTCAAGACCTGACAGTGAGAGACTCGGGTATTGTTGTCTATAAGCTCAAGATAAACGAGGGTTTTTGTCTGGTACGTAGTTTTACGTTTTCACTCTTTCTTTCTGGCGTGTTATTATTATTTATGTATCTTGGCAATAGAAAACCTGAAATTTAGTTAATTGTTTTCCCTGTCCAGAGACAATGTCAATGGGATATTCGAACTTGATCTTAGCATGTAGGCCTTGCATTTATAAAATCAGGTACAGGGACGACATCTGTTGAGAGACAGCCGATCAGTAGGCAGCAGCTGCAGCCGAAGCTTTATATGTTCTATAAAAGGAGGAAAAAGTTATCAATTGAATTTGATTAGCTTCAAGTCTATCTTTTTATCCCATCTATTTTTGCATACTTTTGTATTTTTTTTCTCTAACGTTAAGTTTCTTTTTCTTTTCAATCTCAAGGTGGTTATGGAGTTTTTGGAACTTCGTTCAACAGTTAAATCTTAAAATCTTAGATGGTGTTTCATTGCCGAAGATCGAACCCAGGTTTCCTCAGTGAGCCAAACATCTTAATAATTAGGCGTATCTATTTCGTAAAAATATTAATTTTTTTGTATTCATATCATATCTTATACAAAATTAATTACTTTACATAAATATAACAGATTCATATATTTATTTCATATAAAATATTAAAATCGTGTTTTACATAAAAATTATATATTATAATTTATATCAATATGAAAATATAAAATATATATTTTTAATTTTGTCAAAATTCATATATAATTATTTTTTAATTTTTAAATTACATAATTTTTATGTATTTTTTTATATTGTGTTTGTATTATATTGTCGTATCTATTTTAAATTATCATGTCTAATTAGATAATAATGATTTATTTTTTATGGAAACCTTTAATTATTTTATATTCATAATAATAATAATAATATATTTATTATTATTATTATTATGAAATAATAATAATAAATTAAAGATTTTTAAACATGATATAAAAAAAACAAAATAAATATTGTAAAATTTTAATAAATATTATATATGGATTGGATAAAATGAAAAATATATATTTTATTTTTGAGATATTTATAAAAATTATAACATAATAATTATTATATTTTATACATATTAAATATGAAATAAATTAATATAAATTATTAAATTTAATCACATGAACGTGGATGTATATTTAAATCAAAGCAAACTAAGATTACAATTTGGGGTCAATAATGGCTTTAATTCTGAACCATCCACGCAATGATCACCGTCATAAAAAAACAAAATAAGGGTAGGCTTTCATCCTGACCGTGCCCAATTTCTCCACAGCCATGAATAACAACGGGCTCAAAACCTTTCTGAATTGTTTTTAACAAACCCATTCCTTTACGCCATGTTTGGTTCAAAACGTCCATCAAAATCTTGATAAATGCAATAATTGATGTCAGAAATGGTTGTCGTTTTGCATTAAAAAAAAAAAAAATCTTCCTCATTGTCCTTTGACAATGTAAAACAGACACCAATCAAAACCCAACACCCCAACACCAACAAATTGAACGAATCCTTATCTCTATCACATTTTTTTTGGTTGGACCAAATAAAATCCTTACAATCTTTTTTGTTTTTTATTTTCTTTCTCAACGTGTGGAAAATATTAAATTAAAAAAAAAATAATTACAGTTGTAGAATGAAGGGAATCTCAAAACCAATGAATTTCTAGTGTTTCTGGAAGAGACGATTCCTTTGAAACGAGCGGTTCTGAATAAAAGTACCTTTTACCTTGTCAAATAAGGTATAATAATTTTAAATATGATATAAAAATAATTTATACAAAAATATAAAAATTATATAATTTTAAATTTTAGTAAAAATATATATAAATTTAATAAAAAATTTATTTCGTATTTTATGTTTTAATATAATTTTGATATGATAATTTTTATATTTAATCTAATTTTTTTTATTTTTTACTACTAAAATCCAAAAAAAAATATTACTGTTTTTATATATATTCGAACACCCCATCCAACAAAAAAGAAAACAAATTATTTATAGATAAACTATTACGATAACAATCAAATAAAGTTGCTTTGTTCAAAAGAATCTTTCACATGCCTAGCACACTTCCTTTGTTTTTTTTTTAATTTCATTTTGACTATTGGGTCAAGGCCAAAGTTTCCAAGGGGCACTTAATGGATAGACTTGAATTAAATAGATTAGCCATTAAGATTTGCGTCTTCTTTCAAAGAGGATGGGAGGAATAAAGAGAAAAGAAATTTATTTTATTTTTTACTCAATAGTAAAACACATGAATTAAAAGAAAAATAAATTCGTTATTTACATGATTAATTCAATTGATAAAAAATAATAAATGAGTTTTTTTTTAGTTCAATCAAAATTCAATAATTGTGAAAGCACTTTAAAAATAAATTACTATCATACTAATTTAATGTGAGTAATGTATTTTTAAAATTAATTCAATATCTAATTAATCCAAATAAAATTTTTAAAAAATTAGACTGATTAAACAAAAAAATTTTAATATCATTATTGACAAATAAAAAACTATATATATTTTTTAAGTTCTTGCTCATCTATGGATTTCTTCTTTTTTTTTTTTAGTAATTAGTTAATTACCCATCATCTCATTTTGCTTGACAACATGAATTTCCATGGTGGTAGGTAAGAAAACTTAAGGTGTGTGACTTATGGGATACATAAGATTTGAAGAAATTTTATAATGTTGACATTTTATGATATCTTAATGACACAAGTTTTTCCAGCAAGATTCACGAGATTAATGATTTATTGGTCAATTATTTATCACAAGAAAAAACCTAGCTATGGATTGGCATGTTGTCCTCCTCACAAGCATTGCATTACCAAGAATCTTTTCTTAAAAAAAAAAAAATTCATACCAAAGATCTATATACAAGTGTCACGAATTTCATATAAAAAAATATAAATTATTTTGAGTTTATAAGTAATGGTCGTTCTCAATTTAATAAATATTATATATATTTAAATTGAAAATGTGAGCATGTGATGAATTATATCTAAATTTACATAATTTTTCATCCATATGAAATTTTATGAGAAATATCAAACTAAACTTGGATCATCGTGCACGGTTAAAATTAAATAACAAAAAATTATGAATCTTATATAGTAAATAAATAAAAATGATTTTGATTTTATGAATCATAAATCATTCATCACCTAACAAATATATTTTTTAAGTTGAAAACCAAAGCTGGTACACATTAAGATAAATTGATAATAAACTTAATGATTCATGTATTCGTCTCAAGTAAAAATTAAAATTTATATATTTATATCATATTTTACACTAAAATTATATATTATAATTTATATTGATATAAAACATAAAATATATATTTTTAAAATTTTAAATTTATATATAATTATTATTAAAATTTTAAATTAAATTATATTTATATTTTATTATCATATTATATTTTAAATTATTAAATTCACAATAAATTATTTCTCTTTTGCACAAAATAAAAAAAATATAGGTCCATGTCCTACCTTATCGAGTATATAAATATCTTTTTTTTAATGACCAAAATACCCTTAGAATTTGAAAGACCAAATCACCCTGAAACCTGATTTTGAAAAAGCATCCCCAACATGGGTCAACTATTTATGGTCTATTTTACAATCCACAACCACCGAAGAATCTTGATCCTTGACAATTAATAAAAATAAATAAAAAGTTATTTTTTTCAACAATTCGCCGCGTGGAATGTACGGCACCTAAAAGATTCTTTAAAAAAAAATCGCTGAGTTATACCACTGAGTCATCGAGTTATAGCTTTAAAATACGCGAGGACCCGTTTGTGAAGCACGCAGCGAATCTTGAATCTCTCTTACACGTCTATATAAACACGACTCGCTGTTCCTTGTCATGTTTATCCGGCGGCCAATGTTAGAAAAGAGAAAAAAGAGGAAAATAGAAGGAAGAAAAAAACAAAAGAAAAATAATGGAGTTGAGCTTGGATTTGAGTTTGGCTTATGTACCAAAAAGCATATCTGAGTTTCTGAAAGAAGTTTCAAAGATCAAAAATGGGTTTCAAAGATTATCAAAGATTAGAGATTATGTTAAAAGATTGGAAGATGAGATGAAGAAAATCGATGCCTTTAAACGTGAACTTCCTCTTTGCATGCTTCTCTTGAAAGATGGTATATTTTACTTTTAATTTTTTTATTGTGATTTTTCCTTTTTTTTTTGGATTTAATTTTATTTTTTAATGAGGTTTTAGGGATTGAGAAATTGAAGGAGGAAGAAATGCAGTGTAAGGAAATGGATGACGGATCCGTGACAGAAGAGCTGATGTTGCCATTGAAGAGAAATACTGACGAAAATGGAAGGGTAAATATGGAAAATGATGTCGGTGACAAGAAAAACTGGATGAGTTCTGTTCAACTCTGGAATTCTAATTTCGACAACGTTGGTCACAAGAAGAAACCGAACACAGTTCCAGAACTGAAACTGGTAATTTCCGGACTAACTGTTTCCTTTAATCTTTTTTCTATGGAAAAAGTAATACTGATCTTTTTGGGGTTTGAATTTGACAGAGAAGTGAAGAAGAAGATCTGTCTGAGAACCCAATTGAGCTTTGTAATAATAAAAGCAGGGGAGGGGCTTTTGTGCCATTTAAGGGGCATGTTGATAAGGAAATTTCAGGGCTTTCTCTCATGACCCCAAGTTCTGAATTGGCTTATTGTAATCCAATCTTGAAGGGCAATGGCAGCTGCGGAATTGGCTCTGGCTCTTCCTTATGTTCAGACCAAAACCAAATTAAGTTTCAGACCAAATCACAACAGCAGCAGCAGCAGAATTCTAGGAAACAAAGGCGGTGCTGGTCACCTGAGCTTCATAGACGATTTGTTGAGGCTCTTCAACAACTTGGAGGTTCACAAGGTTAGGCCTTTGGAACTAGAGGTTATCAGATTGATGAATTTATTTATTTATTTATTTATTTTGAAAGTATTGGTTGTCAAGTTGAATTGAAAGAACTTTTTATTGACAGCTTCTGCTTGTTCTCAATTTCATAGAATCATGTCTTTTTATGACAAAAGACTGGAATCTGGTTCTTTTGCTATGTTAATTTCATTTTTAGCTGTGGAATAAATCTGATTGCTTAATTCTCTTTCACAGTGGCCACTCCTAAACAGATTAGAGATCTGATGCAAGTCGATGGTCTCACCAATGATGAAGTAAAAAGCCATTTGCAGGTTAGTCTTTAGCATGTGAAATCTGATCATATTATCGTTTTTTCTCCTTTCTGTTTACTGATCTTGTATGTGAATTTCGGTTTATATACAGAAATACAGACTTCACATCCGAAAACTTCCAGCTTCTTCAGCTGGGAAAGGAAATGGCCTATGGTCGGATCAAAATCAGCGCAGTGAGCGCATGAAAGCAAACATTTCACCGTCTGGTTCTCCTCAAGGTCCCCTCCTTGCTAGTGCTTCTGCTAAAGGCATGTCAAGTACCGGATGCGACAGCATGGATGCAGAAGATGAAAAATCAGATGGCCATAGCTGGAGAAGTGGAGTTCACCAGGCAGGAGAGATTGATGTATAGTCAGATAACTGATTCCCATGAATTTTGCAGAAACATGGGGTAACGGATCGTAATTATAGTGACCTAGTGAGAATAATTTTAATCAACAACTAGAGGAATTTGAAATAAACAACCTGTTTGAGGACTGGTTTAGTTTCTCTCCATGACACCAGTTCCTGCCCTGATGTATGAGTTTGTGTAATCCGTAATGATGGATTGTAGGAAGCAAGATGACTAATTTTTAGAGAGTTCTTTCATTTCTCTTTAGACTTAACCCTCTTTTACAACTGATGTACTTAATATATCTGATATTCGAGGTTTGATTTGCTGTTTCATTATGGAATTGGCCTTTGTTTCATTATGGTTTCAGTGAGATTTTATTTCATGATTTTCTTTTTTTTTGCTCCACTAATAATGACAAACTCAACCACCCATAATTTTTTCATTTTCTGTGATATTTCTGTACACAATCTTCTATTTAACTGCTTTTGGTTAGGTGTTTATGTCGGTATTTTTAGTCCACACCAAGAAGCAATTAGATATCAGATAGTGAAATGACTGTCCTGCACTGCTCCAACTTTCTCCTCTCAATTAATTTCAATTACCTTCACAAACATCAACCTTTCAAATCCTTCGTTGCATACTTATTCCAAATTTATCATCCCTCCAACTTTTGACAAAGTAGTGTTAACCCATTTGGTCCTACCAACATCATTAAATTTACACCAATCAATTGCCATGAGCTTTATATTTGCATTTGTCCATTGTATTCTTAATATTATCATATCAATCCAGATATAGTTTAATCTTCAAGAACCATTTTCTAGTTTTCTTATTGGGTTTGTGTAACTAGTTATTTGTTAAGATTAAAAATTGCTTAATCAGCTCAAACATTTCTATATGGTTTAATTTTTTTTTTTTGTTTGAAAAAATTCAGAGTAAATAAATTGTTCAATCTCTCAAATCAAGATAAATATATCGTATCCAATAATATAAAGAATAATAACAGTAAGTCGTACATTCATAAATAAATTATTTAATTTCTTTAATTAAAATAAGATATACTTTATCGATAATTTAAAAAATAATGATTATAAATCGTATATTTAAGATTAATAACAAGAATTTACTCTAATTAGAAGTCAACCCAAAGTCACTAACTAGACTTAAACCCAAAATCATTTGCATGAAAAAAAAAATGATCCTAAATTGAGCCAATCTCTTCTTAGTTATTGTTTAGATTATTATCTTCCATTACACATTTACCAAAATTCTCACCAGCCAGACCATTGTGCAAAGTTGAAGTTAAGGACAAAGCAGTCGCTTTCAGCATAAAAATACAACGAAGTCATTGAATCTGAGCAAAGGGATATGGTGAGCCCACCTGAAGATTTTGGTTTGAAAATTGAGTAGCCCAAAAAATTAGAGCATTTTATTGGATTCTTTCTATTATTGTTTCTTATGTCATACTACACTAAAATACAGATTTTTTCACATCCTTTTTATTTACTGAAAAATGAAAATATCATAACTTATTTCTTTTTTATGTTGTTTAATTATTGGTATAAGCTAAGTATTTGACCATGAAAGAGAGCTCCATGGCTTTCCTTACCCAAAAAAAGTTAGGGCAAATGACATGATTTGATCACTGCAAGAGCAAAATTTAAAGCACCAAAACCTTTTTTTTTATTAATGAAAAACTGTAATCTATCATATCTCTAAAAAAATAATAATATAAAACTTTATAAATTCATTAGTTTAACTTCAATTAGCAATTTTATGATCTCTTTCTATTATTTTTTTAAAAAATTAATTCATACGTTGAAATAATTTTTAGAATATTTTTTTCGACGCATTAAGTAAAATTCAAGAAATTGTTTTTCACCTAAAAAATTTTTAGAAAGATGTCACTACAAAATTCCTAAAACTTTTCATCATTGGAAGGTTTTTTAACAATCATTTTTGTCATTATTTTATTTATTTTTTATTAAGTTATTTCCTAACATAATAACTAGTATAATTGATTTTAAACTAACAACATAATAATATAAAAAATTAACAATTATACCTTACAATTCACAAATAAAAAGTGTACTTTTGGATTGCATTTGGATTTTGGGTTAGACCAAGGATGTTGGTGTCAATGAGAGCCCAAATCTTGGGCCTAATGCCCAATTATTAGGCTTTTTTTCTTCCTTTCATGTTGGAATCCATGAGAGCCCGATGCTTGAGCCTGATGCCCAATGAGTCGCCCTTTTGTTTCCTTTCCAGCTAGGTCGTTTGTTTTTGAAGGAAAAAGAAAATCATTATATTACTTTTTTGGGTCAAATTAATTAATATCATTGTCTAAATTGGTTAGGACAGTCAACCCTCGTTCTGAAATATCCTCTGATTCAGATTAAGTTCGTAGCAGATGAGAAGTCATAATGCATTTTCTGGTTTACGTCGTCTTCTTTGGTGTTCCTGATCAGTTCACCTGCATGTTTTGAGCTGAAATTCCACAAAATTATTTCGAAAGAGTGAATTTTTCTTGCAGTCGGGTATGTAATATGTGAAGGTCGTATTCAACTTATGAGGTATTATAAGTTTTAATTTAAAAGTTTTACAGTTTTTTCTCACAAAAATACTTCACAAATATGAGTTTGAAGTCTCAACTTATATATCATAACATATCTTCGAAGCATCTTAACGTGAAATTAAGTTTAAGATTAACATTTTTGTCAAACCTAATACAAAGCATATATAAAATCAAAATTACACTAAACATTAGGATTTTAAATGTGATTCTCATGATATAACATTTAACTCTCTTGAAATTTTGAAAATGAGTTTCACGATTAATATTTAACTTGTATTTGATTGATAATTACTTTGATATCATTTGTAGAGATTTATACTTAATCTGTGAGATACTATATATTGTAATCCGAAAATCTTATAATTTTATCTCATATAAAATATCTTATAAATATGAATTTAAATATCAATTTATATATCAAATAAATTTTCGAAATATCTTAACATGAGATTGAAGTATCACAAAAATACTTATATAGGTGAAATAAAAGAGAAAGATATTCACGTGCACATACAACTTTTTTTTAATTCTCATGTTACGGTTTTTTATGTAAAAAATCCAAAAGAAATTTGAGGTTGGCGGTGCATGAAAGAGACGACAATATAAGATTCGATCAACACATGCAAATAAGTATATATGATAATGTACATACATGATAGAATCAACTCTTGAAGCAAAACCAAAGGGAGATCCATTAACAATAATATTATTATATAATATTAAATTATATATATGAAGAGGTTACTTGGCTTTGACATCTCATAGAGGCAAAGCCCTTTTTTAAGCTGTTATCTGATCAGATCATATCAGATCATGGCTTTCCTTGAAAGTAAAAAAATAAAGAACTAAGCTTATTATTATGCAGTAAGCAGCAACCCTGCCTGCCACCCATGGTTTTCCATAGCAATTGGATTTCATTTAGTTATTATATAATCATGGTTTATTTATTTATATTAAAGGAATTCACATGCTCATTGCGCCCTTATCAAAGCCCTTTCATGAAATCTATGACCAATTGCACACACAAAAATTATATAATATCAGAAACAATAATTATTATTTTAATTCCAAATCAGTCAACAACTTCCCCTGGAGTATTTATTTATATAATAAATAATTAACCTTAGATCAACCACAACATGAACTATATATACTATATACGAGGTATTATGAGATTCATTGATTGAATAATGATAACCATCCGTTGGCAGCAGTACCATCTTCAATTCTGTAATTTATGTACAGTTGGACCACCAGTAAAATATATAATTGGGTAACAATACCATTTTTTTATCTCTCTTTTCTTGAAGATTACATCTCCAAGGTCAGGGTTAGTCACTAATCCACAAGTAAGATTTATAAATTTTTTAGAATTTTTTGAATTTATAGATCATCTATTAACAGAGGACCATGAGAGTTTGAATATGAGTGATTTGCATCTAAATATTATATCTTAATTACTTGCACCAATCTCAATTGGCCTTTTTTATGAATTTAAAATATTGATATTTCCTTTTAATTTTTGATACAATATTCAAAAAAAATAAGCTGCTCAATCTCCAAAATTAAATTGTCCACCAAATTAATATCATCCACTGTTATTATTTATAGAAAGTATAACAATAATTCTTACTACAGCTACAAAAGATGATGATTACATAATATATATAATTTCTAAGATGATGAGAAGTGAAATTCAAAGTAAAACAAAAAGAAAAGGCTTTCTTTTAGGAACGATTCCCATTACCAACTTCTCTACTAAACCAACAGGTGAAAACTGTACTCCCAAGACGAAAGCAGATCCTTACATCTTTAAGTGTACGTTCCAATGGAAGAAGCTCTGAATCATACCCAAAAAACCCAATGCTGACTTCAGATCTCTGAGACCAATCTCAGTCTCTCAACCATTTCTCTTTGGTGTTAATTTGTATGCGGCAGATATCAGCTGCACGTACAAGAATGAAAGAAGAATAACCCAAAAAGAAGTCATCAGGAAACGTTTACAGATCTAGATCATTATATAAAGATATATATATATATATATATGTTATTTTTTCATGTATGGGAAAGCAACTATGGCACTAATGCAAGTTATGGAAAAATAGTGGACATAGGTTCATTAATGGTTATATATATATATATATATATATATATGCGTTACAGACAAGAAACCTGTTTTTCACTGAAGACAACACCACCCAAATAAGATTAAACTTTTCAATTTTTTGAAAAAAAAAATCCACATCCTACAAGAAGAGGTGATAGAGAAGCTGACTGGAACTTCATCTCATCCAATGTCAATGCACTTCTCTCAAAAACACTGCTATTTCTACAACATTACAAGGATAGAGCACTCAACTTATTTCTAGTAAAAAAAAAAAAAGAAGAGTAAAATAGGCACTTGTATAATTTTTTTCATAAAGGAAATTGAAAATTAGTGTCCTTTATTAGGTAAAATGAAACTATCTAATAAGGGCAGTGTTGTCTTTCAACGAAGGTGTGAAGCAAATCTCAGAGGACAGGTCAAGATCATGGATTTCATCTACCACACCAAATACCCAGAAAACCCCACTCTATCTACCTCCTTTTTGTACCAAGCTTACTACAAATTAAAATCTATTGCAGTCTAATGTATCATTTATTTTTGTTTGAAACAAGCTAATCAAGACATAAAGAAAACTGATAACTGTTCATTCATTTCTCATTTCATTTTAGTGGTAAAGATTGTCCCAGCAAAATTGGAATAGATTATGAAGAAGAAAATAAAATCTAGATTTTCAAGTCAATCTATGGTTGCAACTTCACACTGACGAATGGACTATCCCTGATCTGTGAAAAGACAATAATTCTCTTACCCACCTTTTTGCCTTGTACAATTAAGAGTAAATCTTGCTTTCCACAGGCACCAAATGATTTTTCCCCATTTATGAAAAACCCAATATATATTGCATACGAAGCTACCAAAGGCCCTTCACAAAAGCAAAGCTTGTCTAGTATTCAGAAAAGCCTCGTGGACAGGCATATACCATTAATAAGGGAAAAGTAAAAGACTTTACCTAGAAAGAAAATTTGCTGTCATGAAAAAGCGGGAAGGCAGGCACTCAATCTGCAAACAGGAAAAAAAAAAGAGGTTTCTTTTTTTTTATTATTCAACAAGGACCAATACTCCTACCCTCCTCGCTTTCTGACCTTTGTTGTTGCTGCTGGTTTTGCTGTGTTTGTTGATTTTGATTTTGCTGTGCCTGTTGCTGTGGTTGTCCTTGTTGTGGCTGAAGCAAAAGCTGAACTTGAAATGGATGACCCCCATGATGATGAGGATGAGGATCTTGTTGTTGTGTCTGAATCTGATAAGGGTTATCAAAACTTCCTAAAGCCAATGAAGGTGACATGGTAGCTGCAGTTGTTATCTGATTAAACCCTGTTGCAGTAACTGAAGTAGCCCCTTCAAACCCACTATTAAACCTTACAACCTCTTGACCCTGATGATGTTGTTCATAACCTCTAAACATATCTTGTTGTTCCGTCGCTCCTACCACCGCAGCCAATTGTTGCTGAGCCTCAAAAACCTGTTGCTGTTGTGGTTCTCTTATCACCAACTGCCCCCCATGTGAAGCCGAAGCCGCCGCCGCGGCAGCTGTAGGAATCCCCATCATTGGCATCATATTATGTTGCATCACAGCAGAAGAAGAAGCGTTCCCAACATGTTGCTGCAAAAAAACTTCAGGTTGTAAAATAGGAAGCATAGCTTGCGGACCAATATAAGTAGCCAGTTCCTTCTTGGCATTGTTAAGATCGTGTTGCATTTGTTTTAGCCTATGTTGTAAGATGGAGATCAGGCCAACACAGCCATAGACAGGGTCTCGGAGACGAGCCTCAGCTTCATAGGCTAAAGAGTTGACAGCGTCTTCACGTTGGGAAGCATTGAGTTCGTTTAAAAGTTTGGCCACATTGCTGGCACCGAATACTTTGTGAACATTGGCGAATTTTTGGGGATTGTCTGGTGGGAAATAAGGTGCAAAGACGCATTCTTGGGTGCATTTTCGACGAAGAAACTTGCACGCCGCGCAAGGAGAGTTTGACGATGACATCTCTTCTTTTGTCTTGTAATTAAACTGAAAAGAAAAATCATGAAACAATGAACCCAGATCATCAAAATTCATGAATTCCAAAGATCTTAAAAGACCCAGAAAGAGAAAACAAAAGAAGAAGGAGAGATCTAGGTAGGAAGAGAAAAGAAAGAGAGAGGAAACTGGATTTAATTTAAAAGTATTAAAAGTGCTTTGGAATGAGAAATCACAAAGAAAAATGCATGTTGGATTGAAGGAAGCTTCTTCATTTTTATCAAAGAAAAGAAAGATTTTGATACCCAAAAAGCTCCCTTTTTATGATTGAAAACCTTACCTTTGACTGAAACTGCCTGAGGAAAATGGTAAAAAGAGCAACCAACCAAAGTTGGCTTTTTTTCTAAGAACAAATGCCTCTGAAAGACCAGTCCTTCATCTTCCAAAACTTGCAGATCAAAACCTTAAACGACAAACAAATCATGTTGTCGTTTCTGGGCAAATCTTCTTGTCTCCAAAACTTCTGTTTCTTTTTTTTTTTCCCTGTGGAAAATTAAACAGAACCAAAACAGAGGGTCAAAGAAAACTTTAAACTAACCCTAAAGACTAGAGAAAACAAATCCTTTTAAAATCAAAATCTAAGATTTTTATTTTTGGGATGTCAAAAATAAAATGGATATTATCATCTTGAAGGGGGTTGTCTCTTACTCTCCGAGCAACAATTGAATGCTTCTCTGAGTTACCTCTTTGTCCCTGCGTTGTCTGCTTTTTTTGCCCAAATTACCCTTTGCTTTTTGTTTCAGATATTTTAAGGTTTAATTTTAACACCTAATTTCCATCTTACTTGCGAAAAAGGTTTTCATAAAATTTTTAGATTAAATTTGTAAAAATTTTTTAATGATTTAATAAAAATTTTAATAAAAAATTCAAATAGATAAATTAATAAAATTTAATATAAAAATCAATAAGATGTAAAATTTATTAAAAATATTATTTATAATTTAAATTTGATCAATATTTATTCAATGATAAAAATTCTATCAATATTTTTACTAAAGTTTTTTTTTAAATATATATTAAATTTTATTAAAATTTTATTAAATTTTGCATACTTGATTTATGTAACAAGATCTTTTAATTTATCAATTTTAATTTTTGATTTTAGTTTTGATTTAATTATTTTTAGTTGGAAATTTTATGAACTTCACCTAAAAAACTTTATCTAAAATTTTTCCTCTCATTTATTATCCTATTTTACTACAAACAGATCATAATTAATAATGACAAACAAAAAAAAAATTGAAAGGGAGAAATTGAAGAAATTAGAAGCACGATGTTTAAGGAAAGAAAGGGAAAATAATTGGTAATTTGATTTCATTCTAAGGAATGAGGATCAATCTTAGTTGCATCATAATATTAAATTATTGCATAGAATGTAATGGATGTTATTTATTATAATGAGAAAAGGTTAAAATTAACTACCATACATTTTCACTTTGACTTTTTTATATTTTAGAATGTTAAAATTTTTTATTTTTAAACAAAATTTATTTTTTTTATACTTAGATTATCAGAATTTAAGCTTTGATCACTTAAACTATATTGAAGTTCAATATTATTTGAACAAATAATACATGCATTCATTATTGAATCAATTATTTATATGCATAATATTCGAACTTCGATTATTACATGAGTGGGTTTTTTTTTTTTTAAGTTCTTAATTTATCCTTAAATCCCTCTACTTAACTGTATATTTGGTTGAAAATGACATTATGCACTTAAAGTTTTTCAAATCTGCAACCATATGGTGGATTTTTTAAAATAAAAATAGTTTGCCTTTCATATAGAAGATAATACTATATATAGGTAATGTATATCATGTTTAACCAAATTGATTTATATAATTACCATGAATTCAAATTCTAATACTTAAAATTTTTTTTGCAATTACTAAAGTGCAACCTACTTTGTACCAAAATATATATATATAAAGCATGTCTAGCAATATCTTACATTCATGATTAGGTTCAAATTCTAATACCTTCTCCCAACTTAGTTACTCATTAAAAAATAACTTCAATTTGCAATGTTTTCTTTAAATGCCTAAACTTTAAAATGATGTTGGATAAATATATAGTAATAGTGAGCATTAAAGTTTTTTTTTAATAGTGAGCATTCATTAGATAGGGATGGCCATATTATATAGTTGGTCAACATCCAAATAAAAATACTTTGAAAATTCTAATCTCCATAATCAATCAAAAACTTAAAGTTTTAGTAGTTCATTTAGTTAATAATCTAAGCTAATATTTGGCAAATAATGTCTAATTTTAGAATATAGGTTTCAGGCTTAATATGTAATTAAACTCTAGCTTATAATACAAAATGAATATAATTATAGTATAAGAGCAAAAAAAAATCCTTAAAAAAATTCAATAATCGTTTAAACTCTTAACATTTTATTACAATTAATTAAACTTTAAATTTTTTATATCAAATCAATCGAACCCTTAAATATCTTATTTACCTAATTGAACCCTTATATTTATTTTCACTTCATTAAGCCATCAATTAAATAGCAACAATAAATATTTCTTCTCTAACGAAGACGATAAATATAAATATTTGGTAACTTAATTTATTAAAAAAATAAAAATTTAAATAATTATTGAATTTTAATTCAAAACTTTTTAATCCCTTTGTCATAATTATATTTAACCCAATACAATTAAATGACTTTTACCACAAATTCAAATCAAGCCTAAATTGGATAGTAGCCTTTTCAAAAACGAAAAGAGGATGTTCTCGTAATTTCATACTCATTAGCACTGTCTTTCTCGACTCTCTCATAGTCTCATTAATACTCTTTTTTTCATCTTTTTCTTCTTCTTATTCAGCCTTCTTTCTTTTCCTCTACGCACGACTCACGAGAGAGGAGAAATGGCCAGCTAATCCGGGTCAAGGGGCCGTACGAAGTACTCAATCTTTTTGCTTCTGGGAACACCTGACCTTGGCGCTGCCGCTGGGTTGTGGCTACGACAGCCGTTTTGATTGATTGATCCCCTTTTATCGTAGTATTTTCTTAGGCTTTGATCACATTCATTATCGAAAGTGACTAAACCTCAAGCGCTCCCTCATTTGACTGATGCGTGCTTCGTCAACTCTCCTATGCTCTCTGCTCCTTGAGACCGTTAACCCACTAAAAATCCTTTTTTTTTTTAGTTCATTTTTGGTTGTCTACGAATTTAATGAATACCATAATAAGCACATCATTATGGTTTCGAGGCTTAAAATCTAATTAAACTTAGAAGGGATGCAATGCAAGTAAAGTAAGCATGTGACCGACCATGGTACTATAAATTTATGTGTATCTATACTTGGCTAATTGGCTTTCTTTTTTTATTTTTTTTTTTTTCAGAAGGAGTCAGTTATCTTATGGTGTTAAGAACATTTTTTTCCCAATTTTAAGCCAAAATTTTCGTTGATATTACAAGCTACATTCCTTAAGACTCGTATCCCTTCAACACAACATGATTTGAATGTGTCAATGAGCTTATCTGATCAGTTAAAGCTCTTTCTTTTTTGTGAAAATTAAAGGGTGTTTATTGGTGAAAAAATACTAACTATTAAAGCTAAACTATCAATAAAAAACCCTACAAGGCTACAAATGAAAAGATTGATCTGAGAAAAGGATATAAAACCTTTATTTTTTTCCTTGGATGTTGGTTATGATGGAAGAAGGGAAAGCCAGGATGAACACATGTTAGGTGAGGGAGCAACTGCAAACAGCCACACAGGTTAATCCCTTTCCTTTAACGGGACGCGAGGGAGGTTTGTGGGGGTAATGAACGTCAGCTAAAAGGGGAATTACCGTCAGGAAAAATAGAAAGAGTGGAACCCACGTACGAAATGGGACTAAAGGAGGGGGACAAAAAGGAGAGAAGTAGAAAAAAAAAGAGAGGGACAGGGAGTGGTTCGATGGATGGTAGTGAATGAGTAAGTGAGAGAGCAGTGGTCCGGCGCCTAGCTGGCTGCAGCTGCTGCTGCTGGGGGGTGTGGTGCGACCACTGACTCCAGCCAGAGTGCCATGCAGAGAGGTCCAGTGTGTTGGTGAGCAATTGCGTGCAAAGGGATTCATTCCATTTATTGTAAATACCATTTTATCGTTCTTTTTCTCTGGTACAGATTTTGATACACAGATTTTTTTTTTTTTTGGGTTTGGAGTGATGTATTATTCCTTTACTCCTTTTTGTCCTCATTTACTGTTTTCATAGCATTACTATTACCATTCCATTCTTTCAGTCTAATTAATTGACAGTTGTTGGGTCTTTTTCCCTTTGCTTCTACTTTGCCACTTCCTTTGTCTCTTTCTAGACATGGATCATTGGTAAATGGCAATGTCCCATCACATCAATATGGGCAATTTCAATTGTTTTCTAGTTATCTTGTACTTCTTTTATGGCCCAATTATATAACACTTAAGTGCCAAAAATCTGCCATAAAAAACTATACTCTAATTAAATTGCATGGTATCACTCCATCTATAATTAGCTTTGATCAAATTCTGATATCACTGTAGTTTTTTTATACAAGAATGCTGCAGTTTGAGATAATTAAAATTGTTAATATTGATGAAATTTGAGTTATGAATTGATTTACTGATTCCCTAACATGGTAACAAACAATCAACTAAGAAGTATAGAGTAAGTCGTCAACTTTTTAATTGATCATTGATATGGTGAAATGTCTCTGTCAATAAAATTGATATCCGCCAATCACATTCATACAGTCAAACAAGCTAGCAAAACCTCACAATTTCTTGTTTCAAGTTTAAAATTAAATAAGAAAAGAATGAGGAATGAAGACAATTGTTGTCAAATATAATCTGCTGAATTCTATACTAGATATTGCCTGTAAGTCAAATATAATCTGCTCACCTTGAGCAATGCAAACAAAATTATTCTCAACCACCCGAGGCCTGATTCATATTTTATATTCATCTAAGGGGCACCTGATGATAGTTAGGATAATGAGTTGTTTGAGGGGCCAGGGTGAGGTACTGGCCTGTGCCACCCCTGCATGCAAATCAGCCATTTTTGTCTGCAAGCATCTTTTCTACAACATCATTATTTTTTTCAGGTTTTTGTTCTCTTCCCTTTTCTCATTTCAATTTTTTTTTCTATGTTGACTTCCTATGGGCTCGTAGGAAGTTTATCACGTGCATGGATTTGACATAGAATGCCCAAAAATAACTATTGACATGAATATTCTGATGCTACCATTCAATCTGTCTGCTATTGTTTAATGCTCCCTTCCCCTCATCATCACTCGCTTTTTTCCTGGTTTATTACTCTCTTACTACAGAAAAAGGTTTAAATTAAATATGATAATTTAAAATATTATGATAACACAATATAAAAATGATATGATATAAAGATGATATCATATAAAATTTTAACAAAAAAAATATATATATATTATATTTTCATATCGATATAAATTATTATATGTAATTTTCATATAAAATACGATATAAATACATAAATTATTAATATTTTATATGACATGAATACATAAATTGTTATATTTAATTTAAATCTATCATAAACAAAAAAGATATAT